GGGGTGGGGAAGGGGTTCTTTAAGATCCTCCTAGTCATTCGATTTTAAATCTTCTCCAGTAAGGTTTTCCGTGTGCAGATGCGGGCAGCCCGACGCTGGGTTGGCTCTGCAGCTGGTCAGTATCCGACCTCCCTCGCTGGCTACTTGCCAGATTCAAAACAGTCCCAGACCTCCCGCGACAGGGAGGGCTGCTGAAGCGGAGACCCTAGCGCGGTGAATGAAACGCGAACGGCACGGTTCCGGCAAGAGCCTCAGACACCTTAATTCGGGGTCAGTTGGGAAACTGGAAATATGCCGGGTGCCGCAGGTGGCAGATGGCGCTGGAATTTAACATTCTGGAGCCCCTAGGGTGCCAGGCACCGAGCCAGGAAAGCGAGTCACGCTCATTCATTGTTCAGCTCGGCGAGGCAGGTTACGCGGTCTTCCGGGAGGTCAACACCTTGCGTTTGCTGTTCCCCTCGGCCTGGAACGCTCCTGGGAGAACCGGTTCCTTTTCGGGTTCAGGAATCTGCTTAAAAGCCACCCCGCCAGAGAGGCCCTCAGGGCGCTTCGCAGCTCCCTATCACACATATCATCGCCTTTGAAAGCTCTGCTTAGCAATTGCCTCGGTGCTCACCATTTCCTCGTTGGTTTATATTTGTGTATTTTCTTTGTTTATGCTCTGTCCCCACAGAAATATAAGCTCCACAAGAGCAGGAACCTGGTGTACCATCGCCGCTGCACGCCCACAACTGGGTCGGACGCACGCAGTAGGCGCTCGGTGAATGTTAATCACCCTACACGTCTGCAGGCTGCAAACTGACCCCAGGTGATCAGTTGCCTGCATTCAAGCCAGGATCGGAGGAGCGAGTGGGCAGTCCAGACAGGTGGACTTCCCTGTTTTTCAAGGAGCTCCTGCATTTTAATTTTAACTACGACGCTTTCTCTCTGTCCTCTCACTCCCTGCACATGAACTGCAAAGAACAAGACAACCGCCCTCCCGGGTTTTCCCCTGGGACCCGGCACGAATCTGCATCGCTGCCTCGGGATGTCAGGTCAGAGTCCAGGGCGGGGTCCCGCGCCGAATCCGTCCATCACCCTGTGCCTGCAACCCTCCCTTCACCACCCCTTCTTCTCCGTTCTCGACCCTTTGGCCTCGATTTGACTTCCTCAAGAGGTCGCATCCTCTTTGCCAGTTCGACCACAAGTGTCCTCAGGGAGCTTCTCCTTGAACCAGCCCCTCCCGCGCCGCCTTCCCTTCTCCCTCCTTCCCAGGCGGGAAACGCCGCTCCACACAAACTGATGGAGCACCCACGGAACAAGGCAGCGCGCTGGGCCGCTGGAAGCCCCTTCCCGGGCCCCACGCAGCTCTCACCTCCCTCCGTCCTTCGCACCTGTCGGGAACCCGTGGTCCCAACTCCCTCCACTGCGTCATGGAATCCGTCCGCTTCTTCCTAGCCCATCGCCCCACCTCCTCCCCCCGGGGCCGACTCCTGATTGGTGGGAGTGTGGGTCACTCTGCCGTTCCTCCCGTCTTCCCCGCCCTCCGCTCGTGGCCCCGCCCCATGGCGGGCTCAGGCCCCGCCTCCTCGCTCACCCCCTCCTGCTGATCCGCAGGCAACGAGCGCGAAGTTCTGGGCAAAGTCCTGGGAACTCGCAGCCGCTGCGGGAACGGTCAGCTGCGCATTGCGGGGGGGACCAGAGAAGTGTGTTCGCCTCCTCCTGGGTCTGTGGATGGGAACTAGGTGGCGTCCCCGGCGGCAGAGCGCGAAGGTAAGCGCCGACGCCGGTGGGAACGGTGCTGGGCGTGGTGGGGACCCGGCGGCCGCGCGGGCGCGAGGGGGGGGGGTCGAACCACCCTTTCACAGGGGTCGCCGCCTAAGACCATCGGAAAACACATATATAATTACATATTGTTTTTGTGATTAATCACTATGCTTTAATTATGTTCAATTTGTAACAATGAAACTGTTGGTCACTATAACATGAGGAACTGTATTAAAGGGTCGCGGCATTAGGAAGGTTGAGAACCACTGCTTTAAGATGTAAGGTTTATCTCCTGCACAGAAAACAATGCTAATGTAACAGGGTGAGGGTGGGAGGCAGGGAGAGGAATGGAAAAAGAGAGATATAACAGAGCTTGAGGGAAGAAGGGGAGGAAAAATTGAACTTCTCACCGGGAGAGGAATTACTGAAAAATGCAAGAAGGGTTGGGAAAACAACATCTGAGCTGCTCAGGCCATCCATGCTGGGGTGGCCAAGGTGCCTCCTGGTGCGGAATGGCGGCGGGGGTG